GCTTTTATGTACAGTTTTTCCTCTTCCCTTTTTATTTTGTTCTGTCCTATTAAAGGCACATATGTATTCTCTGCTGATGGACTGTGGTTTAATGAGCCTTAGTTGCAGCCACATAGAAAAGCACAAAACCTGTTGCAAATGCTAGGGTCAGGGTCATCACCATTCTTCAGGCAGCCAGTCAGCTTGCATAAGGAAGGGTCCATCAGCAACATCTGCCTTTCTGCTTTAAATATCAGATTGCTGTCCTGCCATTCCATTGTTGATGCTGTAGGTACTTATGAGATGGAGTACATTAATTTGGGAAGATTTTCTTTTTTGGATCAAAGTAGGCCTTTAATGGTAGTAGTATCTGTCATCTGCCCAAGGGCAGGTTCTCTGCCCATTTCTTCATATCTGATGGTCCTACAATTTCCTCCTCTTATTAAAGCCTACCGTGTTCAACTTCAATAAGCAATGCAACTAGGGAAAATAATACATGAGGTAGTTTCTCATTGACTTTCTCATATGCATTTAAAGGAAACACAAGTCCTCTTCCTGAAGGATCTTATACCTGTAAACAAATGTAGTTCCTCAAAGTTCTGGCTCTTCCATCATCACCAATGAAAATGTGGTGGTTTCTATGTCGACTGTGGCTCATAGCCCTGGGTATGGGACACGTAGCTGAGCCTAGAGTAGCTCACAGAAGGACACAGACAATCATCACTAAGGTCTCAAATTTTAATTTTTTTTATTCACTCATGCCACGTGGGCATTGCTGGCTGACCACACCTCTTAGGATAATAATCAATACCATTTGCATGGGACTTTTACTAGGCCTTAATTGAATCTTCAGCAGCTCCAAACAGGAATGGGTTCCCTTGGGTCTATCAACCGGTGTACTGGGTGAAATTTCTCAGGGAAGTCAGAGAACTCCCTCAGATGCTGTTCTGTGATATACTAAGTGTGGGGGGAAAGATCCATCTGTCTCAATAGAATTTTCAGGCTTCTCCATGAGGTGAAATCCCAGTGAAACTGGGTTCAATTCCATTTACTGGCTCCCTATTTGCAATTACACTAGAAATGTGCCAGACATGCTCCCAGAACATAAGGAACAGGAGTATACAACTCGGCTCATTGTTTTTAATTAGATCATAGCCGATCTGAGCCTCTATTCCCTTTCACCACTTTTGCTCCATATCTACAGATGTCTTTAACCAACAAAAATCCAACAATTTCAGTCTTGAAATCTCCAATTTTCCTGGCCTGCAAAGCTGTTAGGGAGAGTTCCAGATTCCTATTACCCTGTCTGTGGAACAAGTACTTTCTGACTTAACAGGAGATGTGCCCAAGCAGATGTGAATTTCGGCCCACTCTATTCTCAGAATTTTTCGTTTTTAAACATTCTGTCTAGAGGCTTACATTGTAGTTGTATTGAATACAGGATTGCTTTGGATAGGGAGCATACAGATGTAATTGCCCTACCTTTTAATATATATATATATATTCAGTATTATGCCAATACAATAAACACTTTTCGAATTGCATAATCACAACCATTAGAACTATCAAGAGTTCCACTGAGGTCTATATCCACGCAAACAATGAACACAAATTAAGAACTTCATCAAACATGTTCTGAAACTTCATGAAACATGCATTAATTTTACTGTATTCATCTAACAACTTAGTTATTGCATCAACCAGGTCCAGTGATCACCATAGAGCCATACAGCACACCATAACATGAAGTGAGTAAAGACTTTATCCAGAATAGGAATTAAAGCATTATAATATTAGATAATATACAGAACAATTAGAAATTCCTCACAGTGCAACTTTTTAAAAATGTGTTAATGGATTAGGAGTGTCGCTGGAAAGGCCGGCATTTATTGCCCATCCCTAATTGCCCTTAGAAGGTAGTGGTGAGCTGTCTTCTTGAACTGTTGCAGTTGTAGGTATACCCACAGTCCTGTTAGGATTGCAGTTCCAGCGACAGTGAAGGAACTGTGACATTATTGTGAGCCATTGTGGTCTATGATTTGGAGAAGTGTTAGTGGTGCTGTTCCTTGCAGCCTTTCTAGGTGGTAGAGATCAAAAGTGCTGTTGAAGGAACCTTGGTGAGTTGCTGTAGGGTAAGTGGAGCCAACATGATGCAAAGGGATTTATTTTTGGCCATTATAGTCTTTTTTTCAGGATACTTATGTATCCCACGGCTGAGATGCTGTTTAATTAGAAAATCACAAACTTGGATTTTTGCAGCTGCGTATAATTGTACATAGTTGCTGGACGTTGTGTGATAAACCTGCAAATATGATTTTAACATACAGCATAGCATGGATATTGTCAGGATGGGGAAAATACAGAAAAACCCAAGAACCATGGAGGCTTAGTTTTCCCAGCAATTTCTGTTTTCTTTTCTGGAAAAATAAAGCTTTGAGGCAAGATTGGATACACTGGAATTGAGCTGCTTGGAACAGGCTGACGGGAGATTTCATTGAAAGATAACATTGTGAGGGACCTGGATAAAGTGGATGGGTAGGGCCTATTTACCTTAGCAGAGAGGTCAATGACTATGGGACATAGATTTAAAATGAAAGGTGAAGGATTTTGAAGGCAGATAAGGAAATTCTTTTTCACCCAAAGGGGCTCACACATGAAGAAAGGCCTCAGATAAAGGACGAGTTTAGTGTCTTCATGAGGGCAGAAAATTGTCTTTTTTAGGTTTATCTTTTCATTGTGCAACTGACCACATTTACTGCTTAGAAAATAAGGTCTGCAGCAAGGTAACAAAGGTAAACTTTGATCTACAGAGTAATAAAGTGGAGGAAAGTCAGATAACAAACTTATCCATTGAGCTTCTCTGATACACATATCCTTGGTCACCACTGAACAGAGATAAAGATTCATTGTGTGAGTTTAGATTGTTATAATAATTAATATTTGTTTTGCAATATCAACATGACTATATCAAGCTTAAGCAGTATTTTGTCACATAAGCTCAAGTTTTATTTGTTTGTGCAGTGTGGGCGTTGCTGGTTACACTATCATTTATTGCTGATCCACAACTGCCCTTGAGAAGGTGGTAATCAGCCTCTTTCTTGAACTGCTGTGGTCCTTGGGGTTTAGGTACACCCCAATAGTGTTTGAAAGGGAGTTCAGCCAGGGTGAGTGAAAGAATGGTGTGTCTTTTGAGTGGGAACTTGCAGGTGATGATAATTATGTGTGTTTGCTGTCTTTGTTCTTCTAAGTGATAGCGGTCGTGAGGTTTGAAAAATGCTGTTCAAGGGATCTTGGTATGTTACTGCAATTAATCTTGTAGATGGTACACCCTATTGCCACTGACTCTAGATGGTAAAGGGAGAGAAAGAGGTGGATGGGGTGCCAATCAAATAGGTTTGCTTTATAAAAATGACAAAATGCTTTATTTCTTAATCATCTTTCCCTGGAAAAGAAAAATAGATGGAAGTTGGTAATCCAACTGAGTGGATTGCTAAGCAAATTGTCTAAATTTCATTCCATTGAAATAATTGCAGTGTAAGTTGGGCAGGGCTGGGATCTGAGTGAGACTTCTAACTGGTCATCATTGTGTTTTGCACAATGGACTCACACTTAATAGGAACTGTATTATCTAGAAGGTAGCAGATATCCACCCAATAATTCATGATGAACCTGAATATAAGCCCCAAGGAAGAAATCACCCAAAGTACCTATGCTATTTTCAATCATAAAAACATATGTCAGAAATAACATGACACCAGGTTACAGTCCAACAGGTTTATTTGAAAGCACAAGCTTTTGGAGCGCAGCTCCTTTGTCAGGCAAAGTGAGAGAGAAGCGCACAGAAGACAGAATTTATGGGCAGACAGAGATCAAGGGCAGAGAGATCAAAAGACCAAATAAATGGTGTGAGTGGAGTGCCAAATAATAACCCACACCATTTATATATTCTTTTGATCTCTCTGCCGTTGATCACGCTCTTCCCATAAATTCTGTGTTCTGTGTGCTTCCCTCTCATTTCAACTGACAAAAAGGCTACGCTCCAAAAGCTTGTGATTCAAATTACCCTGTTGGACTATAACCTGGTATCGTATGACTCCCGACTTTGTCCACTCCAGTCCAACACTAGCACCTCCACATCATGGCTACCAAAAACATATGTGACAGCACTCATCACTCAAGAACATATAGTAACTATTACATTTTACACACATGCCAGGTTCTCCAATGGCTCAACATATCAAACAGTGAGTAAGAGAGCCACAATGCCTGGGAAGGGCCCATGGTTGACTCCTGGTCAACTGTTGTGACAAGACAGAAAGAAATGAGAAGCTCTGCAGTTAAAGATTCTGTGTTGCCAGTATACACACATGGATGGCAGATGGCATGATGACTGGGCTCTACTGCAATGACTTCCACATTGTTAAACAGCTGCCAAAACTTAGAGCCACACATGCAAGATGCTTAATTATTGTGATAGTGAAATGCTCAATATGTATCAATGTGCATCAATATTTTCAGAGGAGAAGAATATATTGGCATGAGAACAAATATCACCTAAAAAAGTAACAACAAATTTATTGCAAATCTGGAATGAAATAGCAGCTATGGAACAAGAAATAGGTGCAAAAGTAGACATTTGACCCATTAAGCCTGCTGTGCCATTTAGTAAGATCCTGGCTGATCTGACTGTGGACTCAACTCCATTTCCCAGTCTGTTGTTCTATTGGATACACCCAATGACTTCAACAGAAATAACCTGCCTTTAAAGATCAGTAAGTTTTTCTTTTTCCTTTTGCATTTGAAATCTGCCTTAAACAATTACATATTACTTTTTATTAAAATGATTTGCATAAATAGCATCCAACTGCTGGTTAGGATTTACTATAATAATCTATATTATATTTAAGAGAAAGGAACTGGCTAATACTTAACATTTGATCATTATGTGTGAAAGAGCATAAAGAACAGATTTTGTTAGTTCTGTTGAGGAAAATGTATTGTATTCCCAGTTATGAACTCACTTTTCCCGGGTCATTGCAAACCAGTATTCTTCGGGTTCATTCTGGCTCATATCCTGAGGTGTGGTTGTTCCAAATTTAAGCAGATTTCTCCCTTTCTTGCGAAGTCTGACTTTCAGACATAAAAACATCAATTGAAATTTGTCTTCCCCATCTTCTGAGTGATGCAGATCTGCAATGAAAGATGATTTTATAATAATTATTTATTAATTTATACATTTTAGTATTGATTAATTCAACATGGAAGGATATAAACACACAAGTATACTTTAGTGAGTAGACCATGGATGCACTGTGCTTTTGCAAACATATTTTGAACACTTGATCATTAAACTTGCAATTCTAATTAATTATTTATCAATTACATTGAAAGCACAACACCAGCTAACAGGGAAAGCAGAAGGGGCAATTACAGTGACAACTTTAACAACAACCACATCACATTGACAACAATCAAAAAATTACCCATTATAAATTAGGCTTTTCACTTAATGGTCAAATAATCATTTTTGCAGGGAGTATCTACCCTTGATGATCTGCCATCAGTGTTTTTTGTCTTCTGCCTTCCTTATCCAATAAAAGCTCTTGCCTAAAAATTGCAGTAACTGGGATATGGAAATTCAAATGTAATTTCTAACAACTTAATCAGGTTACTGAAGGCAGAAAGAAGCACAGGTCAAACTAGATTCATGTTGATTCCCAAATTTGGGGGCTGCTCTAAGGTTATGTGTGGGGTTGGACAGGCTGAAACATGACTAACAAAGAAAGATTAGTTTAGCCTGTAGTACTAGAGCAACTGCAAAATGGGATGATCTCTGTACAGCATAGAGGTAGGGGAATATTTCAGTCTCCTCTTCGTCCTGTATTATATTAATCAATAGAGGTGTTTCTGGTGTCAGTAGTCAGTTACTACATATCAAAACCAGCTCTGCTCAGTCTGAAGTGGATTTCAATAGGGATTCAAACATCTTGTGCTGAAGTCACTTCATCATGTGAGGTTGCATGAGTTCTCATGAAAGACATCTGTGGCATTTCCTGATTGTTGAATGTAAGAAGGAATTCTTGAAGATGTTGGTTATTTGAAATTCTGTACATCACCCTTAGGAGACTAAAGGCAGAATGAATACTTTAAACAGTTGTCAGTTTCTACCCAGAATTTACAATGAATGTCTCTTGGCTATTGAAAGAGAAATGAAGGCAATTGTAAAAGAATTCCGACTAGCTATTTAGTATCACTTACAGAAGATGCACATGTTTGTGAGTATTACCAACTTACTGCCTAGGGTCACAAAGGAAGGAAGGCTGTTGGGCGAAGCACAAGTGGACAGCCAATACCTACAGACATATACCCCAGCAACAGTGACTGCCTTCGGGGAAGGAAACCAGGAAGTTGACAAGGAAGTATTAGGCATTAACAAAGGGTCCAATGGATAAACATAAATATAGTTTTAAATTATGAAACACTGCAACAATTGATCTTTTATCTGGTCCACATAGAATGTAATAATGCACATACTGCTAATATAAAAATCCATAGTATTGCTTCAAAGTAAAATGAGACAGTAGGATGCAGGAACAAAGGTTCAAACAATTAAAATATAATATATCAGGCACTACTTCCCACTGAGCGATCAATGTGTGCTATAGGGATCACCTAAGTAAGGCTGTGGAGACAAAAAATCTTAAAGTATTTAAGAAACAATTCGACACTGCAATTGATATAGAAATGATGGGCTGAATGGAATTTGTTATTCATGACTACATTGTGCTCTTATGCAGAAGCAAAAACATAACATTTATTCAACATCTTTCATGATTTTACAGCATTCAAAGGCATATTTGGCCAAAAGGATACTTTTAAAGCATAGTCCCTGCTATAATATTGTATATAAAGTTTATATAACATAGAGGCAATTCCCCAAGGAAAAGTATAATTTAATTGCATTCTGATCTTGGTGAAGCCCTGGGAAACTAAATGGAAGGAGTAGTAGTTTGTTTTAAATTGTATGGTCATAATTGCAATTGAAGTCATAGTAAATGTTTCCAGCTACATTGTCTGAAACTAACAGAACAGGTGACTAATTCCATTTCAAAGCAGAATGCCTATCAGTCATTGGAGGGGGAGCAGGCTAGATCTTTCTTCTCCTACCTTTACAAGCACTGTTTGTAACAGCCGGTTTGCCAGTCTTTTAGTCATCAGTACATGGCAGGAAAGGACTTTTAAAAACATTTTTAAAATCACTTTGGTAGTTGTGACACTGAAAATTGCTATCATGCAATGACAGCAAGTGTAGAATCCTAGTAAATGAAAGGGTTAACTTACGTCTGCCATGTAGTGGCCAAATGACTCAAAAATTTACAGGAAGCAGCCATGAGAATTGTTGGCAAGCACATGGCAGGGACTGTGGCTCCTCACTAAATCTAGCCCATTAGTTGATAAGCATCACTCTTCTTGATGTGCAGAGTACCTTACAGATACCTTCAGTGCAGCCATTTGTCAACATGTGCTCCAAAGTGCAGGTGCAGAAACGATGGGCCAAACGGCCTCATTCTGTGCCACAATACTTCTGCGATTAGCGGTAAATGTTTCAGCTCCACCCTTTCCAAAAAGCCTTCCTGACAACTTTCTGGGTTCAGAACTGAGCTTTGCCTCATGTCATGAATGTGTCAAAATTCAGTGGGTCAGAACACTGCTAAATCTCCCACACTACAACAGCAACTAGACTTCAAAAGCATTTCATTAGCTGAAAGCTACTTGAGGTGTCCGGAGAAAGTGGAAGGCACTATATAAATTAAAATTCTTTATTTTAATTAATTGCAACCTGGCACCATTTAACTACTCTTTATCTTGTAAGTGTTTTAGCCCTGATTTGCAGGGACTGGTATCCATCACCTAAATCTGAGTGTTATTCAACTCAAACCCATTTCCTTATCATCACATCAGACATGTAGGTGAAAGTTTCTCATTGATTCATATTCAGTTTAAGGGAGTTCAATTTGTTAGTATTAAAAGTGAGAGCAGCTCACAAACTGCAGTATACTGGAATCAAAATTAAATCAACATCAATATAAAAGCAATTTATAACTGGAGAGTTGGCTGGAACCTGATGCAGAGACAAAACCAGTCAAGGATGATAACCACAAGGTTCATCAACTTAAACTTGCCCTTTAACCATCTTTGGATTAATACATGTGCAACTCTGGTCACTGCTTGATCGGCACTGAAGATTGTAGCTTTCCTATTTACGTCATATTGTGCAGAAAGGATTGGTGCAAATAGGCTTTGCTTGTCTGGATTTGCATCATCAGTTGGATAAAACCATGCTTTGCTGATGTCATGCAGCGATACTTAAAAAACTAGAAATGTAGAATATGAGAGGTCAAAATTGTATTTTAATATGTTGGTCTTGTTGATAATTAACTACTCTTCAACCAAATTAGCATTTGATGTGGAAATAAATAAGACTATGATGTTGATTTTTGATTATCAAAAACACATTACGGTAAATTTATAAACTCCACAGATAATTCCATTTGAAAGAAGCTTGGGCAGAGATAAGGCTTCAACACTATAGTGCTGACTGCATGACTGGTGCTCCTTTATCAGTTATATCCCCTCACTATTAACATAAGGCTGCTGAAATTGCTGTGGGGTTTTCTCCATAGTCTTCTAGATTGAGGTACCAATTGTCTATTGCTAAACTATACAAACAGTATACACGGAGCTATCAATTCAATTCCTGGGCTATGTCAGAGTTGATTGCTCCCTTCACTTGTATCTTGAATGCCAGGCAATTTGCAAAGAACTTTGATTTCCTGTGTCTGGACAATGTAATACAGTATACCACTGCTGTTCACTCGCCACGTTCTAAAAAAAAAGCTAAATGTTAAATGGTCTTTGCAGTATCACTGGTCAATTTAAAAAAAACTTGAGTACTTGTGCACGGCTTCTCCACCTTGGTTGATTAAAATGTAATTTCTCCGGCTCATGCAACCTCTGCTTAGACCTTCAGTTGAAAGAATTGTTTGCTAATAATGAATATACCATCATAATTTATATTGATGACAAAAATGTAGTATTTAGCAAAATATAAGATAAAACCAAGAAGAAAATATTTTGTTTACACACTACTTTCTTCGGACAACATTCAGGCTATGGCTGACAAGTGGCAAGTAACATTTATGCCACACAAGCACCAGGCAATCACCATCTCCAACAAAAGAAAATTTAGCCATCATCCCACAACACTCAACTCACCTTTATATTGGCTGAATGCCTTACCTTGACATATATGCATTGGGTATGGGGAGTGTGATGATGTTATCATTGACTAGAAACTGAACTGGACCAGCCATATAAACACAATGGTTGAGCATATCAGAGGCTGGGAATTATGCAACAAATAACTCACCTCCTGACTCTCTGAAGCCTATCCACTATATACAAGGCAGAAATCAGGAGTGTGACGGAATACTAGAAGAAGTAAATTACTGCAGATGCTGGAATCTGTACTGAAAACTGTAGTGATTGGAACCTCGTTGACTACGAGGTCGTTGATTGGGGTTGTTAACCTGGGTCAATCAGGAAGACCCTGACTGACCATAATAACCAGGAGAGGTGGGCACCACAGGGTGTGGAGTGCTTTATTTCCCCCTCGAACTCTATTTTGATTTGATTCCTACCCTCCCCTTCACTTTTCCGTTCACATAGGCATTGCCCTTAGGGGCTCTGCTTGATACTGATTCTTTGGTCACATGGATGTTCTTCCTGGTGGTGGTATCTTAATAAAGTTACTTGCACACATGGTGTTTTTATTGTGTCCCGCACCTACACAGGTGCACATAAGAAAAAATATAACCAGGAGATTAGAATCTCCTCAGAGAGAAAAAAAAACAAGAGATAAAGTCTCCTCATTCAGGCGACTGACTCTGAGCTGGCTGGCCACAGCCAGTGTATTGTGCACAAGTAAATAAAGGGTGACTTGGGAACGGGATACAGGCCTCTGTGCAGTTATTTCAGTGGCAATGAGAGAAAATAAGCCATGCCTGAAGAACATTTGCTTGCCACAGTCATCTTGGAGTTAGGGTTAGCATTTCTGGCATCGTGCCTTTATTTGGGAAGCTTGACTCATTTGATCCTGCTGTCTGAGAACATACACGTTGCAGTTTAAG